GCGATGATGTTGGTGGCTGCCGATGTTCAAAGCAACAGGTGGTAAAGAAAGCTACCAAGAGGCGTTAAAAGTGTGCAATACTACATGTATAACTGGAATGAAAAGTATGACATCACTACATATTTTCTATGGGAAAAGGCAACTAAAATGTTCACCTTACTTATTTTCAAAGAAAAGGTTCACTACCCTTTGGGCTAATTCCGGCCTTAGAGCTCCAAGCCTAGCTGAATCTCTCATTCATACCTTAAACATGCTTCATTCCCTCACACAGAGTGTGCCATTTTTTTTTTTTTTACAGCAGGAGAATGTATTGATTTAGTAAAAACTTACAGCTATAGGAAGTTTCTGAGCCATCTCTATATCAAGTGAATACATGATCCATTCAATCAGCTTTTTCATCACACCTATGTAAAAGAGGCAAAAATTAAGTGGTCAGACAAATTAATGGAGGAGAAGAATAAAATTTGCATGGAAAAACTCTGTCATAAGAGCTCATGAACATAGATGGTTGTTGAGGTCAGGAAGTGGTAACATTTTTTCTTACTTAACGGTTACTAGTGGTTGATCTTTTCTTTTCTTTTTCTTTCTTACCTGTTACAAGTGGTTGATTTTGTAAATGTCATATATTTACACTTTTAAAGCTTTATTGACCTATTTATATACATCTAGTTTTCTAATTATTTGTAATTTATCACTGACTGCTGTACCCCTGTATCTCCACCCATCTCGACTAGCACCAGCTATTTGCGGGAGGAAATGGTCTTTATGTGAATGTTCATTGATAATAATAAAGTGTGTGTACTTAAACTAGAAAAAAGTACAGCATGTAAGATACAGTTTTGAATAACAGCAACACACCTTCTCTCTGTTCATTCCTTGTAAGATAAGCCTGTGAAAAAATAAAAAAATTTACTACAGGCCGGTGTACATGTACAGGCAAAATTATCACTGAAGGTTTTCGCACATTTTCTCATGTATCTTTTGGAGCTATACATGAGTTCTACAGAATACATCAGCATTAGCATTGTTATAATAAACGTACTATAAAACCTGGGATTTCATTAGAAGCTAAGACCAGAATACTTGCTTTAGTATACTCTGTGTACAGTATAGTACCTGCCCCGCCAAACGCAAAAGTCGACTTTCAAACCAACTTTCCCTGCCTAATCAACCTTGGGCAATCTTTAATTCACTTTAAAAGACCTACAAAAGTCTTTAATTTTTGCACGTGTAAGCATTGGACTTGAAAACTCACCAGTCCTGGAACAAGAAGTTTGGGAATTTCCTCAAGTAGCTCAATCCATCTGCGGAAACAAGGAATATTCAGTGGCATCCACATTTCAAAAGTTTCCTTTGCACAGATTATTAATAATAATTTTGAATGCAGAAAATTATCAGCCAGAAAAAATGATGTTGTAGAACAAGGTGAGAAAAAAATTAGGTCATTTCAGGGTAACATTTGGAATAATAAACTTGTCTAAAACAGGGTCCAATTTAGAGGTTTGGGTAGCACATATTATATCCTCCTAAAACCTAACCAGGCATTCCTGGGGAGCTACATTTGTACAACAAGTTGAAAAAATGTTGAGACACTCCGACCTTTTTCACTTCAAAATGCTGCTAGTCAAACATCAGTGTATTAAAGATATAACACTGCATGGTTTGTTACTGCCATTTTTGAAAAATGGGCCAGGTATTATGCATGGGAAAATCATGGACAGGCCATTTAAGCACAAATAAGTTAGAGTGTCTCAAGAATTTTTGCATTTGGCTGTATCCTCACACGTAGGTTATAAACAAGATTCATTGGATCATGTTTCAAGGAATGCAGGCTGCAAGTAAAGGAATAATGTCATAAGTGTTCTATAAAGCAATGGAAAGGAGGGATCACTAATATAATTTATTATTCCTAAAAAACACGAGCATCAACTCACTTTAAATTTCTCTCAGAAGTGCAACACAATTCAACATGCTCAAACAATGCTTGTCCCTAAATTCGTTAAAACACAAGAAAAATTATCACTTAAACAAACCAAAGACAAGTGAGAAGAAAAATAACAAAATGAAAAGTTAGACTCAAGATGTCGAATTTTTAATTAGAGACAAGCTTCACATACCAAGTTTGTTTGTTGTTCATCTGGTGAAGCTAGGAAAAGAAAAAGAATATTAATTAATTATTAGAAGAGGCTTTGCATTGAAGCTATGGCTCACATGTATGCAGACCGGTGGTGAACTGTGTCATTGATTAAGTACTGATTTAGGACACTGTTTGCTATTCTTTGTATGGAAAAGGCAGTACCTTCTGCCTCATCTCCATTTTTCAGAAACCAAGGGGCAGTTGGTTGGGTCAGGAGAAACGGCGCAATGAAAGTTCTCAAACGTGAGTGGAAGAGCAGGTTCTTCTGTTGGTCCCCCAACCCAATTAATTAACTCTGGGTATCCCAGGATACCTCATTTTAAGACCTAAATTACTAGTCCACCCTGGGAGATCAAACCTGTGATCTGCTGGTCTGCAGACCAGTGGTCAGTTTTTCAAAAGGTTTATAATACTATCTACTGGATAAATCTCTATCCAGTGGATAATGCAAGTGGTTTCCCTATTTACTTATGCACTGGATAGTGTTATCTTATGTTTGAACAACTGGAGCCAGCCCTCTACCTGAGCTGTCATAATGATGAGGAACATTCATCAGACTAGTCTTCATCATCATAGACTAAGAAAGCAAAAAGGAGTTTGAGGAAGATCTTACTTGATTCATCCCCTGGTTTTACTATTGCTTTTTCATGCTCTGTGCAATCAGGAGGACTGAAAGCCTGGAAAACAACAACAATAACAACAATGACATTCTAAGAAATATAAAGACAAATCTTTAATTGGTCTGCAAGCAGCCTCAACATTGGCTAGTGGATACAAAATAAGATCTACAAATGTATTAATTAATTTTAGTAAATGCCTACCAAGGAACCTTTAAGTGACTTAAAACGTTCCACCCAAAATTCAATTTTTTTTTCATAAAATTCTAAGAAATAAATAGCACTGCCTGTACGCAAAAGTTGTTCAAAATATGTGTCATTTGAGTGGTAACACCATGTGATTTTGTCTACAGATTTATAAATCACATTGATCAAAGAATCCGTTCACAATGTGATCTGGAAGTGAAAAGGTTAACCACTTATTTGTTCTAGTTACATGCATCAAGTCTAATAACTCCACCTCCAAGCAGGCAATAACATAAGGAAACAATGGGAAATTAACAACAAAGTCATGGTTGGATGATTAACTTACAGCCAAAGGTGATAAGTCACATTGATAAGGATTGAAACTGACAGATACTGACATCCACGCATCTTCACTGTACAAATCCAGATCACTAAACTGTACATCCTGAAACAAGTCAACACCAAAATTTTATCATTCCTTTACGTTAATTACAAATTAAAATAAAATAAATGAATAATTTTTTATTAATTGATTATTAAGGGCATTTTATTAATCATCCAATAAGAGAATTTACACAAGCTCCATTTTCCTTGTAACTTATTGCATTCTTTGAGTTTTAATATCTTCCATTTTGATGTGTGAAGCAGCTCCTAAAATTGAAGTGTCATAAAGTCTGTAGAGCAGAAATGGCCAGAAATGCTAATATGATACCTAAAACTAAGTTAAAACAATAAATAAAAATAATTTATTTCTTATACTCACAGCATCATCCAATGTTCCATCATCCATATCCTAAATTCAAAAAATTAAAATTTGTATTAATATAAATTTTGTATAAAAAGTCCCTACAAGGTTTTCAAAATTTAAGTCCACTTGGAAACTAACCTCTTCATCACTAAGAATCTCTTCATAGCCATCCTGTAAACAAAGATAATAAAGTGTAATGTTAAGATCACACTGGAAAAACTCTACTTGATACTGTATGACTCAAACAATGTACATGCAAAACTGTTTCCTGCCAAAATTCTCTGAGCAGGAGGAGACTTTTGACATTACAAAATCTACCATGTGAGAGTACCCACCAATGTTGACCGCTCACTAAGATTTACTTTGATGCATAAAACTGTACATGTAGAGGTTTTTCTTCATGGGCAGTATAACAAATCAACTAATGAATGGTCTCTCAAAAACTAATTAATTTTGTTTCCTTTGAACCTTAACATTTCCTTCAGCTCTGTCTCAGGAGACATTCTTGAAAAACAGAATTAACTGTTTCTCTCAGGGTTGTCATCAAGTCTTTCAAAAAGGGGGCAAACAACCACCCAGGTGGCTTGACATGTTACTGCCACTTAAAAGAAAAATTAATTTTTAACAATTAATAAAAAATAATGTAAACTTGTAGCCAACAAGTTACAGCAAAGTACAGGGTTCATACAGATTTTTGGATCCAAAATTCAAGACTTTTTCCAGATGTTTTTCAAATTAACAATATTATTTCTTTTTCCAGGCTCAACATTAAAGTGCTACTACGATCAAATTTGGGAATTTGTTTTTGATTACATATTTCGAAAATGTATGTAAAAGTGACCTACCGTGCCAAGTTTGGAGTCCAAATATGATCTGGAAGTGTGTTTATTTGCACTGCAATTTTCGTAAATGTCTTGCCGCCATTACTCGATTCAAAAAATGACCGGGAGTAGTATTTGAAGGAGTTGGGGCGAGATGTGACGTAGAAACATCAACGCGGCAAAACAAGGCAAACAAACGTGGCTAATTTCGCATGCAGGACGAGATATTTTTGGAAGCTTTTGGAGGTTCTTTCTTCGCTTTTTTGACTTAAAGCGAAAGTATGCCTGGTAGACGTTGTGTTGTTCAGGACTGTGGAAACGTAAAGAACGATGAATTGGGGATTTCTATTCATAATTCTCCTGATTCGGGCAGCGTTAGATTAAAGTGGAAAAGGTTCGTGTCCATTCATCGGAAGGATTTCAACCCAGTGGGAAAATTTGCTGTGTGATCGGAGCATTTTACAAGGGATTGTTTTACGCTTGCTTTTCCGATGAAAGACATGAAAAGGAATTTGAAGAAGGGGACGTTTCCAACCATTTGGAAAAAATCCTCTCAAACACTATCAAAGCGGAGTCGACGATCGGTGAGTGAAATTACAATGTATTTGCGCTGTGCTTATCACCATTATATTTATTTCCCCATTTACCTGTGACATGATTTTTTCTGGCATCGTTGTTCAATATTCGTGTAATGAATGCTCTGACTATTTGGACTTCCCATATTGTTGCATGTGTTTTCATACTTTTCTGCTTTCTTCTCATAGTTATAGTAAAACGGGCATTTGCGCTGAGTGGACGTGAAGTCAATTCCCCAATTCCCAGACCTTTCCACTCAAGCGTAAAATTTAGAAAAAGTGAAGCTACATAGAAATCCGGCTCTCTATTTTTTGAGAGATTATCTTGCTGTTACTTTGAGATTTGACAGTACTCCAAACTTCCCTCCAAGAAATCTTACAGCAAATTAAGAGTTACACGCGAGTCTTTTAAAACGACCAAAAATGGACTTAGTCTGATTTCTACATTCTATAAGTTCAGTTACTGTTTGGGGTTTTTTTTTCGTTTGTATTTTAATTCTATTTTCACTGTCTGCAAATGATGCATACATTTTAAGGCAAAGATGTGGTTAAACCTTGCTTCCATTTCTAGTTTTGAAAACATCGACATAAAGCTCAAATTTAAACTTGTTTTGAAGGGGAGATATAAAAAATGGTCGTACCTATTTTCATTTTTAGCTACTAAATGAAATTCTGGCTGGTCAAACTACTAATGAGGATACAGAGGAAGAAGACAATCCTGAAGAAGAGGTGATCTCTTTGAAAGGAAGTTCTGCACCTGAGGAGAGTGCTGACACTATGGGGGCTCCCAATCTCAACCCTGAGGAGTCTCCAGAAGTCGAGGGTGTTCTGAATACAAGTCAGGGTTCTTTGCTTGAGGTAAATCCTGAAAAGGAGGGCTGCATCCCTGAGACTGAGACGGGTGAGATAAGTGTTGATGCTGAGATGGCTTCAGAGGTCCTAGGTACTCCTGGTGATAAGACAGCTCTCGAGACCCAAGGGATTTCAGGCACTGATGAGGTTACTGAGACCATGCAGATCCTGGAGGCTCAGGGAATCGAAAAAGTGCAGGATATGGATGAAGTTATGCAGATTGATGAATCATTAACGATTCCTGAACTTGAACAGGTTTCTATGGTAGGCGCATAACTCTAATTAATGTTTATTTGCATCTTTGTATTATCATAACAATGGGAAACTACATGTGCAGTTATTTTACAACAATACTAAAACACAAAAATTCTAAAGTCTTGTTATTACAGCCTGTATTAATGTTGAAAGTTTGTTTTTTGTAGGATACTCCAACTGGACATGCTGGGAATTGCACAACATGCAAAACCCTGAGGAGTGAGGTGACTCAGTTAAGGGGCAAAGTCACAAGACTGAAGAGTAAGTTAATCTCCAATCAAGATCAGTGGGTTGAAACCTTTAAGAGCATACAAGAGCCGAAGCAGTTGCTGATGGTGAATGCTGGTGAGTCAACAATAATTGATGTTGATGAGTCATATAGGCATAACTGCCTATCTTTATATTTTTATTATATTTTATCAATATTTGATTATTTAATAATAATTAAAATTTTAATAGTGATAGAATTTTTTTAATTCCATTTGTTTAAGCTATTCAAACTGATCCATGGCCAGTAACAAATGAGACAGAGTTAGGGCTAGAGGATGAATCAGAAGATGAGCAGGAAATGCAGGACGACGTGTATGAGGAGTTTGAGTGTGATGAAGACCCTACATGGAGTCCTGAAGAAATCGAAGATGCATATAAAATACTAAAGGAAGATGATGACTCGGTGAAGACTCATCAGAACCCAAGGTACAAAGATGCAAAATTTATTGCATTTTAACATCTTAGCTCTAAGTATCCTCTGGGAAGTGATTTAGGCCTAAAACTAACTTCCAGTATGAAAGGATCTATTTAGAAACAAGAGTACATGAAATTTGTTTTTTAATTTACTCAGATAAGAATTGAAAAAAAAAAGAAAAGAAGAAGAAGAAGAGGCATAGCCAGCCCATAGACTGGAAGTCCCAGGCCTTAAAATGTTTGGTTTGTCCACTCAACCATTTGTAATAAATTATGCATCGTTGGGGTGGGCTAGATACCTTAAGGGCTCAAAATTGTCATGTGTGCAATCAACAGAATTATTATAAAAAAGCATTTTTCAGGATGTATGTGAGAATAAAATCCCAACCCACAATTAGCCAGGTTTACAACAAGTTGAAAAACTGGCAACACCCTGAGAAAAACAATAAAAATGATAATCATTTTTTTATTGTTATTTTATTATTTCAGATGCTATGATTAAATGAGTATTTCCTTTCAATCATTTTTTACAGGTTGGATCTACAAGGAAAAAACATTCGAGAGGAACCGAAGGGAATTGTTTTCCTTTCCAAACTTCTTCTTTTGTTTCAGTTCTGCCACTTGTGCTTCTTTTCAAAACCCAAACTTTCTGTATCACAGACAGGTACCTTGTTAACCGTAGAAAGTTTCTGCAGAAACTGTAGCCAGACAAAAGTCTGGAAGAGTCAACTAGACCTGCTAGGAAAGTTTCCAGCGGGTAACCTGCTATTAAGTCTTGCAGTGCTCTATGAGCCGTGTAAAAAGAAAGAAATGATACATTAAAACTGTAATTAAATTCAGGCTGAATTCGATTTAATTTTTATTACTTGTGTACATGAAAATTGGAGCAACATCAGAATTCCCAGCCACTGAACTTGAGTTTAACTGAACACTAGAAGAACAGGGCTTCACACAGTGGGCAAGTTTGTCATTCCACAAAAAGCGAGTAAGTGGCTGAGAATTCTGAAGTTTGGCCCATAAAATTAAGTGCTTACGGACAAGTATTCAAGCAACTACTGTAGGTCCTTCTTGGCCCCAATGGCATACATGACACTCTTCAAGAACAAACAGTGCATTTATTATTCATTTTCTTCATCTTCGAATCCACGATAATGGCCATTTTGACTCGGAAATTGTTTCCTGATTTTATTGTAGGCACAACAGGGCAAGGGGTATTGCCTGGAACTACCAATATAACTCCACAACAGTCTTGTAAATTGGCGATAGGCCACAGACCTCAGGAATCTAGTTAGAGAATTGAGATCACTGTTAATTCAAGGAGGGATTGGATGGAGATAAATAAATACTCTTTTTAAAAATAAGCAGTTGGGGCAATAAAGCCATTTAGAAAATAAAAAATGTGATTCTATGAGATCAGTCCACGGCGATAAGCTTAGATGTATCAATTTATTATTCAATGCTATGTAAGGTTCGATCGTTCCGGTACAAAGTCAACAATACCCCAACTTACTCATCATCACTTTTGTTGCTTTGCCCACGAACAGTTGTGTACGACTTTCCAGCTCGCGTTTTTAGGCCCAGTGCAGCCACTTCTAATACGTGGCGGTTTAAGCAGACGCTTTCAAACCCTGGATGGAGGGTTATGCATACGGTCCGGTCTCCAATGGCTTCTTCCATGACCTCTTCGAAGCGATCGATCTCTTTGCAGCAAATGCACTCCTGGGGGGGTGCTTACCATTTGAAAAAAAAATTTCGGAAATTCCGGATGGAAGGTAAATGGTAAGACCACGTTTCGGAAATTCCAACCGAAAATTGAGGAGTACGTTTTGAGGTAGTCCTTTCATTCCGGTTGGTACGAACCAAACGAAATGTTGCTTACCATTAACTAATTTCTCGGTTCCTTCTCGGTTCCAGACTCACGCTACACAAATTCGCCCTTTTTTGGATTCAAACCGTAAGGAATGTGACATTTCTAGGTTAAAATGGGAAATCGCTTACCATTATGCTTTCGACCGCTCAACCGGATTTTTCTGTCAAATGGTAAGCACCCCTGCCCTTTTGTAACAAGGCTGACAGAGCAGTTCGAGCACGAACACCTGCAAAATAATGTGAAAAATTCGTCAAACACAAGAAAAATACGTCTGTATAAAATTATTGTCTGACGTCTTCAATAAAACTATCGCATAAAATCAGGACTACAGCTAATCACATAGCAACGAAATTGTAAATTTAAACAAAACACATAGTCGCGTTCGTCACGCGCACGATTTAACGACGGGTATGTTGAAATTGGAAAATAAAAATATAAATCTACATTCCATGATAATACCATACCATTCATTCGCTGGCACCTCTCCCGAATATCTTCGTTGAAACTGTTGTTCCTCTTCTTCTTCGCGATGAACTCTTTCGTTGTAGTCCGCGGCTTCTTCCTCGGTAGCAAGGGGTTCGCAACTGTCGTCGTACGGCGCAAATTCAGACAATTCCCCAATCACTTCGTCAACTGTAAAACTTTGTAGATCACTTTCAGATGTGCAGGAAGAGGAATCCGACGGAGATGACATCTTAAACGTCTTGTTAAAAGGCTCCAAACTCACAAACTTTTCCCAAATGCGAATGTTTTGGTTGATGTTTCTACGTCACAGTGCATAAATCACGTGGTCAAACGCACGACCGCTTTGCGGAGATCTCGCGGGCTATTGTTTTGCGAACTTTGTAATGGCGGACGGTATTTACGCACTTTTCAGTGGGAAATTTCCAGCTCCCGTACGCAAGTATCGTTCCAATTTTTCGCTATTTGTATAATTTTGAACATATACAAAAGATTTATGTTAAAAAAACTCGGAAACAAAAACAAAAATTTTCGTCGTAGTAGCACTTTAAATAGGCGATCAAAAGAGACCGAAAAAACACAAGAAAAAAGCTTTTTTGATGATGCATTGCAAACGTAAAGGCGAGATTGAATAAGCTTTGACCAGCACACAAAAAAATTTAACTTGTTATGCACTTGTTGTAGCTTTCCAAAAAAACACACGACTTTTTACCATTTTTTCAAGACATCTCAATTTTGCAGACTTTTTCCAGGTCTGGAAAATTGCTGGGCAAATTTCAAGACTTTTTCTAGAATTCAAGAGTCTGTATGAACCCTGAAAGAAGTCCCTGAAAGCCTGGTTTAAATCTTGTAATGAGTTATTGTAATCTTGCCCAATAAAAAGTTTACATGTACGAGAAGTCAGCTCAGCAAATACAAATGACTTAAGAAAACTTTAAAAATAGCGTGTAATTTACCAACCTGGTCCTCAACATCATCCTCATCAGACATAAACAAGTTTGATGGAGACCTGTCAGGAGTAAGTGGCTCAAACAACTCATCCTGTGATTGATTCCCAGATTCCTCTTCAGCAGGTTGCTAAGAAACATTCAGACAAATTTGTCATTTTTTGAAGTCTTACTCTAAAAAACTTCACATTCTAAGGAAGTTCCGCTTTTTTAGGAAACCCATAAAATCTCAGTAAAAAAAAACAAACAAAACATTCTATCAACTTGTGGGTAGAAAGGGACTAAGGCTATTCCCACTATACTGGATACATGAAGCTTTTCATGCTGACACAAAAAGCTATCCAATATCGTATGAAAATCTTTAAAAAATATGATCCTCCACTTTAGAGATTGGCCCGACACAGCTTCGACCTGTTATGGAAATCCTGTTAAAATCACCATTCTTATGTGAGAACAGAAGCCCTATCTGGTATGGTTTTTGTGACAGCAAAAAAGCTACTCGGTGTGATGTAAAAAAAGCTTAAGAGAGCTACATGTATCTGCTGTGGGTTAAAAAAAACTTAAAACAATCATACAAACCTCCTCCCTGGGTGATCCTGGTGGGGTAGTCGGTTTAGCAGCAGTACTCTCACCAACAGTAGCCGTGACAGTTGTGGGTGATCTTGAGGGTGACCTTGTGACTGGTGGTGATTTCATAGGGGTCCTCTCTTTCTCCCTAATATTTCTCCTGTCATCCCTTCCAGACAAATGGTCCTCATACTTGTCCCTAGAGTCTGACAGTCTCTCAGAAGTTCTTTCACTTAAGCCTCTCTCACCAATGCCAGAGCCAAAAGGCCCTCTTTCAGCACTCCTTTCTCTTCTCAGTGGTCTCTCATGAGCTCTTTCAGCTCTTTCTGGGACTCGTTCAGAAGGTGCCTTCTCAGATGCCTGGTCCATTCTTTCGGAATCTCGCTCGGGATGCTTTGGTTCTACTTTAATAACTGGCCTCTCCACTCTTGGTTCAGGGCGTGGCTCTTGAGGACGTTGGTTGACATCGGTAAAGAAACCATACAAGCTAATGGTGATTCTGTTGTACCATCCACGCAACACAACAACATCAGTGGCACCCTGGCGACAATGTAATGTCCAGTCAAAATAACCAGTTTAACTTATCAAATAAAGAAATTCTACACTAATGAAGTCTCACTACCCAGATGCAGGTAGTCCTTCATAATGCGATATGTCATCAGTATGGAATTTCTGCACTTGTTCCTCCAGGGGCAGATCCAGGATTTTTCTTAGAAGGAGTGCACCACTAAGGAACTACCATTTTGACTACCATTTTTATGGTGTTTAACATAAATTCTTCAACCTTGTCTCTTGTTTTACTTCAACACCAATAAACCACAAAGACAAGTTTTTTTTTTGGTAGATATCCAGTTGTATTAGAAAGCCACAGGTGATCTCAGGGGGGGAGGGGGTGGTGCACACTCCATACACCCTCCCCCTAGACCCACCCCTGTCCTCAGATGTCATTTCATGGGGGAACCAGTGGTGGCATTGAATTGGCTTTTTCTCAGGCTATAATTCGTGCTAACTCGATTTTTCTTTGGGAAAGACTTTGCTTATACGCCAATGGAAAAGAAAAATGGATTACTTTTGAACCAGTCTGAAGAAAAAGAAAAGCAAGAAAAAGAAAAGAAAAATTCTCAAGTACAACCCACCTTGGAATTTGTAACCATCTGGAAGTTGTTTGGTTCTTTGTATTCAAGTCTACGTGGAAAAATAGTTAAAAGTAATAAGAAAACATATTCTGAGTAACTAGAGAAAAATGTTGTTATCCACTTGTCCTTCGGATAAGGATTTAATTAAATTCGGTTGTGCGAAACCCAAGAGTTTTTGTCCAAATGGTTTTGCTCAAGACTCGAAACTCAAAAACAGTCGGCCCAGTCTGGTGACTAAAGCCAGGTTCCTAAGCCTGAAATGAAGCAAAACAAATGAGACGGCCATGGAATGGTGAAGATAAAAGGAATATTTAACCTTAGTTTGTCAAGTATGAGGTTTGCTTTTCTAACTATAAGATAAATTTCAATTCCACTGTAATTTGAAGTCAATTTTTAACCGTCTCTGTATTTTTTCTAATTTAAAATATGCTTGTCTCACAGACAACTTGTGTCAAAGGTTAACATGTCTGAACTAAATCAATTGGACATAGGTTACGGTGTACCCTGATATAACATAGAAAAATAAAGGGACACTCTCTACACAACTAACATTGCTTTTCCACATCCTAAGACAAGCCTTAATTTGTACTCCTAGAAAAACACAAAGGAAAGAGCAAACGAAAGCACTTACTGTCCAAGTCTTTCAAACACAACATCTGAAGGTCGGTCAAGATTACGAATGAACAGGTCCAGCTTAAAAGATGGTGGATGGGTTTCCCTATAAGAAATAACAAAAAGAAAAGAAAAAAACAGCATATTGGTCAAATAAAACTTCTGTACATAATGGCTAGAAAAGGTTTTCCATGACACTAAAATCAGTAAATAGCCATTAACACTGTA